AAGCAGAATTTTAAGTGTCAAAACCTCAAAGACAAAGACAGTTCAAAGAAACAGTCAAAAATTTCTGCACTGTTACACATGGCTCCTTTCTTCAGGACAAGGTGGTGACGAACGATATATCTTCCACCCCGTGTTGCTATTGAGCTCTGCAGACCAATGTAATTTGGTGATGAGGGAAGCACAACATACTCTAGAGTAACTCCACTTAATCTCAGGGTTTCACGCTTTCCAACACTCTTACCAGAGCTGGTTTCTTAGCTGAGTAACAGCAGTGCCTACTATTCTAGGCTTCAAGTTATGTTGTCCATGGCAATGTTCCCTTAAGCAATGCTGACTCCCACATGCTCCTGCTCTTGGGGTAGCAAAACACTTCTTAGAGCAGCCTGAGGCTAATGTGAAGTCCTTCAGCTGAGGAGCTATTGAGAGATGGCTCTACCAGGGATAAGATATGTGGAACTGAGTTTTCAAAGCAGGTCAGAGTGAGAAATGTCAGGAAACAACAAAAAATAAGATTCTGAATCCTTTTTTTTATGTAGGAGTGCTCCTCACGGCTGAAGTTGGCTGGAAGATTTCTGCTTCCAGACATACCTAGTTAAAAAAAATTAAAAAATAAGTATGAAATCTGTTTGAGTATATATGTCATACATGTTCTAATGAGATTCTGGTTATTACCTTGCCTTAACTTTATCAAACTCTTTGCTAACAACAACAATAAAAAGTAATAATTACCATGGTAATAACCACATTTTTCAGTCTTAGGCACCAAGCTGTAGCTTACAAATATGGGTATTAACATCTCAATTTCAGGTGTTTATTGAATTTCATAAATTCTGTTTCAGAGCTGCATGAATTCCCCTGTTTGTTTTTCTGGCATTGTATGGCAGATTTTTTTAAAGGGTGTTTAGGGTATCTTTTCTTCAAGCTTTATTTTAATGAGATTCAGAAGCATGTTAAAGTCATGTACAAATTAAATATTGTATTGAAGGAGGATGGACCTAAATAGGTGTTAAAAAGCCATCTTGAATCAGCACCTATGACCAATGGAAAGGAAGGAATTTGTGCCATCCTCTCCTCCAGCTCCCCGCGTCTTCAAGGAGCAGTGCAGAGCAGGTCAGATCAGGTCAGGCAGAGGAACCGGCACCCTCATTCTGTGATATAATGAGATAGTTTATTAGTAGCCCAAGGAGCGGAGGAATCCTCGTGCCATAGAGAGGACCAAGAAGCCCAGCAGCTCCTGCCAAATCAGATCAATATGAGAAAAGTTCCCTCTCAGTCCCAAGCTGGGCCATGGGTTTACCCATGGGTGTCTGATCAGGACACAGCAACTGACTGCCTCAATCACAAGGATGCCTGTATCCTCCAAGCATTGGTGTCTACATGACCTGTCTCCAGTGCTGCACACTGGGATGTGTCTGGAGGACCCACTTCACTCAGTTTACACAGATGCTCTGGGATATCCCTGAACTGGAATGTTTGAGAAATGTAGCTGGTAGAAGGATGGGATGTAGTAACTTCATCTTTCTAAACAGGTACTGATAGCAGACTTAAATCTAGCATATGTGCAGAAGCCTTTTGCATTTTTTGGAGCCAAAATAGAATCAAAACAGACTTTTGTGTCCTCAGGACAATGACAAACAAGTGAACAAACAGTACAAGCAAGCAAAAATTTTAACTTGTAGATGGCTTGCTTGGTTAGTCATTTCCAATAGCTGCAACACAAGTGATAATCCAAGGCAGCACTGGATCATGTGGAGTGGTCAGTGGGAAGCGCTGAGGAGCTGATACATCACATGGACAGCACACACTTGTGAACCACAGGGCACTGAAAAAATTGCTTTCCCCAGTCATAAGGGTTGTAACCTGGACTTTGCTGATGGCCAAAAATGTAAGAGGGTATAGGATGACTCAGAAGGGTCAAAGCAGAGGGTTGGGACCCAAAGAAGGCTGGCAGACAAATGAAGCATAGGTATGTTTTTGCTGGACCACCAAAACTCTTACCTGTTTAAACTGTTTGCTTTTCTTTTTTTTTTTTCCCCCTTTTTTTCCTGTGGAACCCTGAATTAGGAGGCAGAAGCAGTGTAGATTTATTGCAAATGAAAAGTAATCCAGTCTTCTCTCAGCCTCTCCAGGGTACTAACGCTTCAGCTGCCCTAAGATTCAGACTCTCACAAATTTGATTTCCTATCTCCCAGGCATTAGAGGAAGGCAACAAGGTGAGACTGATGGACTCAAATATCTCTTAGAAATCAAACAACTTTTGAAGCAGAGACCCAGAAGTAAAACAAAATGTACTTTTGGTTCAGGGTTTTTCTCTATACTAGGTTTTTTTCTTTTCATTGTGGTCCTGTTTCCCCACCCAGACAAAACGCAGCTATGACAACATGGAAATCCCCTGAGCGGCACAGCTCTAATAATAAGATTGTTCAGGTTCAACCAAAATATTATGTTTGAAAAGTCTTTTTCTTTTAGTTTGCTCCAGCTGAAACAGGAAAAAAGAAAAAGAAAAGATCAAAGTGATAGCCCACTCAATTATAAACAAGACAAATTTAAAGTGAGAAGGTGTCATTTCCGGATAGCAATCAGTTTGCACAGGAGAGCCCTCCTTTATTGATATTTCTGGCTGAAAGTGAAGTAGAAATTAGTCTGAGGGTAACACAGTATCGAATGTTATTAAGTAAGGTGTTGAAATCCTTAAATAAACTTTTCTAAAGGAAGCCAGGGGTAGGCCTTAGGGATGTGAAGTCACTGGGACCCAATCTCATTGATTCGAGTTTGGCTTCAATGAGCTTGGGTCAAGCATAGGAAACCTGGGAGGGAGAGATGAGGACTAACTACTCCTAAAGTCCCACCAACTGACCCAGACCTCTGAAAGAGGGTATTTCTCGAAACGATATCATGTGAATGAGGCAGCAACCCAAATAATTCTGTAAGTGAAGTTAAGCTCTTGAGCAAGGGTCAGTCAGCCCATGATGCTGCCATCTTCAGCGGCTCCTTGGCCCCTGCACCATGTCCAGCTCCTGCTCTGCTTTGTATGGGTGGTCTCTGTGGCCTGGCAGGTCCCTCTCCTGTTTGTGGGTGGGAAGTATCACAGAGGTCTGCCAAGCAGCCATCTACCCCCACACCTCACCTTGGGCTCTTTTTTAATTCAATGGAGAGAAATTAATGTATTTAGGAGTTTAGATTTCATCTTTTGAATGTCTGTGTTAGGATGAGATGAATCATGCTCCACCGGCTAGAAGAGAACGAAGAATGAAAAGTGAAAAGATCTGACATAGAGTATACACTGTAAATACCTACATATTGACCAATTAAACCAAACTCATTTTTCTGTATCTACCTAGGCTTAAGGTACTGACAGGGAATGCTTTGATGAGGATACTCAGGGTCCTACCACAAGGAAGGACTTAACACAGGTATGGGAGATGTTCATCTTCCAGGCAGCCTTGCTGAGCTTTCCTGGAAAGGACACCATTTCTTCCCACTAAAACAGGGCAGGGGAGCCCAGAAACACCCCCTTGGCTACCCATGGCCACCTGCTCAGGGCAGCAAGTGACATTGGAGGACAGTCCCTGATGTCCTGGCAAGAAGGACACTTTTCTAGACACGAGGGCTGAGATGTCATCATGTTGGTGAGTGGTTTAAATTATTTCCTTGCAAATGAAAGGAAGACTCCATATTGAGTCTTATTATTATAGTGTCATCATTTTTCTGTTTGCTTGGGCATTGTTACCAACTTTGCCCTTGATTTCCTTTACGCCTCCGACATAATGCTTTTTTGGTGCACCCAGGACTGTGCCAGAGCTTGCTCTTCTCTTTCAGATCTTCAGCTCACTTGTAGTTAGCCACATCAGTCAGCCGTGTACACGGCCCTGCATTACGCTGTAGTGTGCGTTGGTGTATACAGCCACAGAAAGTGTGTGAAGGAAATATTTAACACCTCTTTATCTTCTGCTTTCTGCCTCAGCTTTGTCCAAAGCCTGAAAAAATGTGAGACATATCACTTTGTTCCCCGGAGCTAGGTTTTGCAGGATTAGTCTTTCAAATCACAGCTTTTCTGGGTCAGCATTCCTTATGTGGTACTTCATAGAATCACAGGATGGTTTAGGTTGGACAGCACCTTAAAGATCATCTAGTCCAACCTCCCTTGCAGAGACATGTTTCGCCAGACCAAAGCCCCATCCAGCCTGGCCTTGAACACTTCCAGGGAAGGGCCATCGACAACCTCTCTGGGCAACCTGTGCCAGTGCCTCACCACCCTCATAGTGAAGAATTTCTTCCTAACATCTATTCTAAATCTACTCTCCTTCAAATTAAGGCCATTCCCCTTTGTCCTATCACTACATGCCCTTGTAAACAGTCCCTCACCAGCTTTCCTGTAGGCCCCTTCAGGGTGCTGGAAGGCTGCAATTAGATCTCCCTGGAGCCTTCTCTTCTCCAGGCTGAACAATCCCAACTCTCTCAGCCTGTCCTCATAGCAGAGGTGCTCCAGCCCTCTGATCGTCTTCGTGGCCTCCTCTGGACTCTCTTCAACAGCTCCATGTCTTTCTTGTACTGGGGGCCCCAGAGCTGGATGCAGTACTCCAGGTGGGGTCTCACCAGAGCAGAGTAGAGGGTGAGAATCACCTCCCTCGACCTGCTGGTCACGCTGCTTTTGATGCTTTTTTTATTAAAGAATAAGTAAAAAAAATCACACTTCATTTTTCATAGCTGGAAGATTTTTCTCCCTTGGACCCCTGTACCTCCATTGAGAGTAAGGTGGACGGGAGGACTAAACCATACTCTCAGGGAAATAAGCAGCAAAAATCCTGCTAGCCATGCCAGGAGCACTGTCCATGAAATGTGGTCTCGACCCACTGGACTTGACCAGATTTGGCCCAATGAGTCGATGGGCCTGATCCAGAAGGTCCTTAGTTTTGAAGTGGGAAGCATGTTTCAAAGTAAAAGCTCTGCAAATATCTTCATGCTGGCTTCCTGCCCTCTGCCACTAGTCATCCTTGTCGGCATGTTTACATTTCCCCTTGCCTGCGGTCTCTTTATCAGGCAATGGGTTTGTTCTGCGTCTAGTATAAAGTAAGCGAGCGCAAGCTTCGCACACACACGTACTGCACACATGCAGCGTGCTCAGGATGACACAGACAAGTACAGTATTGAGCATTTTCGTCCTGTTTCTTCAAACCACTTTTGGGGAAAGTGGTTGCACCTCAGCAGATGGTGATGGTGAGTCATTTCATCTTCATCTTTCCACTTGTGTATGATCTTGAAAAACCTGAGTTACAAGCTCCAAAATGCAGCTGCTGGGTTAAATATGTTAGTGTTTTAGCCTCCAGTCTCTTTCTTTGGGTGCCAGTACCTGTGGCAGATGTGGAGGTGGAGGATAACTATTTCATTTAATTCCCAAGTCTGCTGTCCTTGTAACATCCAAATTCATACGAAATTAGGGAGATCACAGCTGTATGCAGAGGGCATGTAAGATCAGACCCGTTAATCCTCTCTCGTTGTATCTAGCATTCATGTGAGGAGTTATGCCTGGGAGCAGGGAACCGCTTCACTCTTCTGCAATCCATGGTCACGCTGAGCTGCCATCAGAGAGTGGTGAGGTTCTGGCTTCTCTTGCTCTTGGCAGTTTCCTCTGAACAAAATGTTTCAACAGACCTCAAACTTGGCCCAAACTGTTCCTCTTCAAAAGTCAAACTTTTTCTCTTTTTCTTTAAGCAATTGCATGATATATATCTGGTTGTTAGTCCCAGTCTCCCTTGTAGTATGGCTGAAGCAGCAACTCAACTAGGGGATTCTCGCAGCCCATCACTAAGAGCATTCATCCCTTACTCAGCAAATTACAAATTAATTCAACAGTTTAAATTTAGACTTATTGCAGATTTCATTATCTCATTTAGAGAAGTGAAAATTATTTAGCAGAACCAAAATAAAAAATGAAAACATAAATAGCAGTGATAAAACTACTGTTTCAGTCTGCCATCCCTTTTCTCAAAAGAGCTGAAAAATTGGATTTACAGATTGAGTCCCAGATCTGTTGAACTCTTACTTGTCTAATACTAAACAAATAGCAGTGACAGCGCTTGTTACACTGTGCCTGAACAACATGGGCAGTTCTCAGTTACTGGTAGTTTTAGGGATCCATTTTTTGGGAGCAAAAGAGGTTTTGGTTTTTAGGAAGATAGTGGTTGTGTTCCTATGCTGTGTCACATATAGGGAATCTCATTTTCCCGTGTGTCATGTATTATAACATGTATGTATGTACAGGTAAGCATATACATACATAGATACATAGATAGTATATGCACGTTAAGTTTTGTAGTTAGAAGAAAACAGGGAGTGGCTCAGAACTGCATATAACAACCTTGGTTTTTTCTACTTGTCTTTTATTTGTACAATCTGCAGCTGTTTAAAGCCAACTTTGGCAAGCAGCTACAATGGAGAATGGTGAATGCTAGTGACTGCTACTGATGTCACTGAAATCTTCAGGGCTTCCCAAAAGCAGATATGACCGGAACTTTCCTTGTTTTGTCACTAACTTCCAGTAAACCATCATTTGCTTAGAATTAAAGACAAACAGATTGAGAAAATCCCCACTGAGCAGTTAGCAGCTTTTATGATTTCTTTATGAGTCTCATGGGTTTGGCAAACAAATTAAACAATCCAGGGTAAAATCACCAGTGATGGATGTTCGGATTTCACTCTTCACCTTTCCGACTTGCCTCGCCTCCTGGCAAAGTGCCGCCAGCCGACGCAGGCATGAGCTCACCCCTTCTTATGGGCAGAGGTGTGAAAAGCTCATCGGAACACTTGCCTTCATCTCCTCCTCTTTTCTGAGTGGCAGACTGCCTCCCAATGCTGTTCTCCAGCCTGGCAGAGGTGGTGGAGATCCCCAAAAGAAGAGCTACAAGCAGAGCTAAGAAGGGGCAGCCAGGAGGGGAGCAGGAGACAGCAGGCTGCGGGGTCTCATGGGCAGGACAGTGGTGCTCCTAGCCAAGCTTGTATGGTTTGTCCAAACCACATCAAAAGTGTGATTAAAACGAGTTCTGCCTGAATCGGACTAGCACTAGGCATTTTGCATTACTCTGTCCATGGAGACAGTGACTTCATTGACTTTGGAAATTCGGTCACTGATTCTGCAGGTGCTTAGCAGTGCCTTTGATATCACGCGTTTTTGTTGGTCCCAGTGGCTTCAGAGCTTAAAGCTGAAGCAATTCCACAGCCTCCGCTAACACTCCTCTTGGTAAAGGCTCATGAGACTCCTGCTGTGATTTGAACCATCCTGCTCAGTACTGTCCAAACCCAAGAGACAACTATTTCTGAGAAGGACCTGCCATGGCTGTGGCTGTGAGAGCAGTTTGTTTCCCACTAGAATCATCCCATGTCAATTCCTGTCTTGACTTAAGCAGAGCCAGGCTCAGGGCTCTACCTCGCCTGGGCTTTTCAAGGAAAAAAATATAATCTTATAAATTTTAATTGCGTAAAGAACCCTTAGCAGTCTGAGTCATGTTGGAGTCACCAAAACCATTTACGTAGCAAACAAATTCATGCGTGGTGGTTCTGAGGTTAGGGAAGGCAAGAAGTGTAACTGAGGCTGCATGCATATTTATGTCAGACAAAAAAAATTACTGTCAGCCCATGGAGGAACCATACCAGAAAAAAGCATTTCAGGTTGCTTACTTAACACCATTCATGAGATTTAATTATCATATATTCTCTGGTTAGGATGTTATTTCCATGAATAAGGAACCACGTAATCACAATGTGAAAGTTCAATGTCAAAGAGGTAAAGTCAGCTTTCCTTCCAATGTGGCACCAAAGGTGTAATGTGCTGGTTAAATATTAAATGGTTGTTTGAACTGCAAGACAAAACCTTTTTATTTCTTTTCATTTTGCTGTCAGCCTGATAGAGAATGAATTAAAATTTTCACTTTTCAGCAAAGCAGCAGCAGACAGCTGAAATATATTTTCTGATATGCAATTTATTAATATAATGATTATCAGTGTTGTGTGTTTATGCAAAATCCGGTATACATAGTTTGCATATACAGAGAGCACCAAGCAGTCTCTCTCTCTTATATAAAGGAAGATTAGTCATCCTAATTCATAAGTTTTAATGTTGCCTTGAGGTAGCTATGAGTAAAAATAAGCAAGTCTCCTGGTGGTTGCAAGTAAAGTCTTGGGCATAAAATGTGACATATCTGTGCATGTGAGCTTTGGGTGTATCTATATAAAATACGGGGGATTTTTCCCATTTTATGCACCTTCTTTTCAGCTTAATTGTTATTCCCTGAATTTTGACTATCTATATCTATATCTATATCTATATCTATATCTATGTGTACATACTTTTACCCACGAATCTGTAACATTAAGTAAAATACATTTCTGTACATGTATGTCTGCCCAGATAACTCATGTTTGCATTGGTCAAGACTCTCACCTGTGTGAAACTGCTGCAGGGCTTGCTCTAGAGTTGCGCTGACCTCCGTCTCTCTCTCTTGAATGTGATGGTCAAATAACGCGGCTTTGTACAGCACCTGCTTTGTCCGTGTCTGTGCTGCACAGGTTATTCCCTCAAAGCAGCAGCGCTGGTGGAAAACACCACATTTTGTTGTCCTTCAGGGAGAGCTGGGCTCCCCTTGGGAGACACCCCACCAGAGCTGCAGTGAGAAGGGAAGACCAGTAATTGCTTCTTAGCACTAGTTGCTCATGGTGGCAAATGACCACTAAATTTTAGCTCAGGAGACACATCTTCCTCTGAGTTCTGGATTAGTGCAGTATCAGATGCTCCTGTCCCTCCTGTTGCCCACCATGGGTGCTGATGGCAGCAGCCCCCTTCCCGGCCCCTGCCCATGCTGCTTTTGCATTTTTCTCTGCATTCCTGACTGACTTCTGAATTTCTTCTCTTACTCAAAACCCAACTCCAGATGCACCTCAGCTCTGAGGTCAGAAGGAAACACTGCTGACTGTGACACTGTGGGGTGATGTTCTTTATTTACATTTTAAAGCAATCGCAAACCTCTCCCCTGCATTATCCCTGCTGTCAAACCATGACCATTTTGAATCTTCAGATGTGCTCCCATGCCAGACAAGGTCTGGGTCTCCCTGTATGCTGGCAGGATTGGCCAGGGATCATAGGACATCACCGGCAGGACTATGAATCACAGTATCCAAGTAGCTGGTCACCCCTCAGTGATCTGATTCACCTGAGTGACAGCAGAGATTTTTTAATTTTTAGTTTGAATGGTAGGGGTTGGAAAGGACCTCTGGAGACCATCTAGTCCAAACGCCCTGCTAGAGCAGGATCACCTAGAGCAGGTTGCACAGGATCATGTCCAGGCGGGTTTTGAATATCTCCAGAGAAGGAGACTCCACAACCTCTCTGGGCAGCCTGTCCCAGTGCTTGGTCACTCTCACAGATCATTTTCTCTGGGAGGGATTTTCCATTGGAAATGTTTCCATGGGCATTTCCCCACAATGTTTGTGAGTGTGAGTCACTGATATCCCCAGACCAGCCAAGGTCCTGTTCTTGCTGCGGCAGGTGCCCTGCATGGTGAGGGCACATCTGAGGAGTGGGTAGGAGAGGACCAAGCAGGGGATTGGGAATAGTCCCTGGACATGGGGAGGAGGGTTGTGTATCACCACAGCCACCTTCAACCACTGGTAAAAGGCAACAGAAGCATTCCTGGCCCGAGGATCATGGCAATAACCCTTTCCCTGTCTGCTCGGCTACGGTGGGTGAGATTTCATGAAATGAGGCAGAACCGACAGTTTCTGCCAGAGAGGACTCCTCTCAGAAGCATCGGGTTTTGCTTCACTGATCATACCTGCCAAGTGTAGGACTTGAGACATTTGCTCTTAGTCAAACCGTGATTGTTTTATTAGTCATCGAAGCAAATTTGCAGGAAGCCACGCATTCTGGCAGAAAGTCTGAGCTTTCCCTCCTGAGCTCAAATTTGTGACATTTCAGAAAACTTTGCAGTACAATCAAAATGGGGCTTAATTGCCTCATGACACCAAAATTCTCTTGCTTTCCTAAAACCACGCATGTCTTTTTCCAGTTTTCCCAGGAACCTGGTGACAGGCCATACCTTCACAACACAGGCAGAGGCAGGAGGACGCTGCTCAGGCACTCTTGGCCGTCAGCAACGCGGCTGGTACTGCCACAGGTGCAGCAATGGCAACTGCCAAGCGTGCATCCTCGGCTGTGGGTCTGCCACTTCAGAGCTACAAGGCGTTTGATGTACTTTCAGGCTGTCCTGAGCTCAAATTCCCATATAAATAGCTCCTGTTGAAACTAGCCCTCAGTCTTGAGCAGACGTTAGCCTCAAGCATCAACCCCAGACACCTCTGGCAGTAACCATGCGGACTATATTCCCCAGTGCATGTTTCAGTTCCATTTATTTTCAAGACTGTTTTGGTCCTTGACTTGAATAGTCTGCTTTTCAACAGGTAACTTAAACATGTCTTGGTCTCCTTCGCATGCCCAAGGATAGCCGCATTTTGTGGTTCCTAATAGGAAAACCTGTTTGAGAAAGTTTGGAGACGATTTTCAGACGGAGTAGGTCCTGCTTTTATCTTGGTATAAAGTTCATCCATAACTTTTAAAATGCGAATTCCCCCATCCCTGTCTCAACCTTGGGGGGAATTAAACTGCAGAGCTGAAAACACATTTTCTGTTTTGCACTTGACACTGGGACTTTTTCAGAGATTTCCACGTCGACAGCAGTGCCTCTCTTTGTCCATGATTAATAGGAAAGAAAAGACATAGGGTACCTCTTGTGACAAACCATCTGCGACACTATGTCTTTTTATAGTTCACAGACCGATGATGCAAAATGTACCTTCGTGCATGGTAAGTGGGTGGACTTCTCTGGCATGCAGGGAGAGCAACCTTGAAAGGTACAAGTGGCTTTTAATTTCATTTTGAACAAGCTTTCTTTGCTTCTTACAAAACAGGTCAGTTGATCCTCTTCCTTTCAGGCAACCATGTAAAGAAACCACCTCCTATACAATGGAGCGACAAATTGAATACACTCACAGGTTTGCTTCAGTAACATCCCACAAATCTCTTCTTAGGGACTTTTGGAGATGATGAAACAGACAATTTTGACATTGACTGCTTCAGCCAGCTGGAATTTAAGGATTCCTATAGCAGCCTGACCTGCAATTTTACCGAGCTGCCGTCTCACAACACTAACTATACTCTGGCCCTGTGGTAAGTGCTGTCACTCCATCCTTTGGTAAACTGGGAAGCGAAATGCTAAGCACCAGTGAGTCACATTGTCATATGCTGGGAAACAGGAGCAGCAAGGCTAAACAAAATTCTGTTTCAGAGTGTTTTACCAAGTTTGAATACTATAATCAGCAAAGAAGTAGGGTTTGCTAAAACAGAACGTAACTCCCTAATAAGAAAAAAATCAGCTGGAAGTGTCTGTAAAGGGCATTAAAACATCTCCAATAGTTCTTATCTTGCCTCTGTTGCTCTGGAACATGTGTAATTATGAATCTAGCCCAGCATGAACTGACACCATTTTTCCTTTAAATTAAATGATATTTTTAGAAAACCAAACCTAGCCTTTATCAAGTGAAAAGTAAAAATGCTTTTGAAGAGGCAGGTCCTTTTGACAGAAAATTCTTTGGCAAGAAGGCTGATTTTCCACTGCAGGGAAAATGCCTTTATCTAGGGCAAGAAAAAATTAAGCAACTGTCCACACATACAGACACGCAAAATACACACTAGAATGAGTTTACAAAAACCCAACAGTTACCAAACAACACATCAGTCATCTCCACTTCTCTTCAAGGCCTTGAAACTCTTTTCCACCTTTTCTTTAACTGATGCACCTAGATAAAGAAGCTCAGATTTTGTTTCTTTACCATACTTCTGCTTTTGCCTTTGCCTGTTTTTCCTGAAACTGAAAGTTCTGTGGCAGCCAGCAAACAGAACTTTTTTTAATCTTGCTCTTCTAATCACTGCTTAAATTTTTCCACCTAGTTTATTAGAATTTTTCTATTTTCATGGGCATTCTTCTGGATTTTGACTGAAATTTTATGACAGTCTTCAAACATGGGAGTCACACAGATGGAGGAACACACAGATATATTTCCACCTATGACTCCTTCTTGGCTTGGCTGACTGTTGAACCTGTATTTGCCACCACTCTATTTTTTCAGTGAGCATCCAAACCTGCTGCCCTATATTAAAAAATGACAGCAGTAAGATAATTTTTAAAGATACAATTTTTTTTAACACATACATCTCCAAATTAATAATTGCATTTTTTTCTTGGAGAGCTCCAGGACTATTGCTGTAACTCATGTCACTTGATCATTTTGCTCAAAGATCATGAGGAAAACCACTATCAAACTTTATTTGTATGGCATTTTTTTCTTATTTCACATGGAGTCTCACTTCAGTTAATGTGAAATGAGCAACGAGGATTTGTCCCTTACTATGTTATAGCAGGATTGAGAAGAAATTAACGTTGTGTCACTTTGATCAACAGTACCAAGGAAGACAGTAATTCCGTGTGCTTTGATATGGAGAAACAGGAAGATGTGTATTTCTTACAATTCACCGATATACTCTCAAATAAATACATATGCACAGGCTCTGAGATGAAGAAAAGGGTCTGCAGGAGTCTGGTAGTAACTGACATTGGTAAGACACAACATTTTGGACATTTTTAAGATATAGGGGTTACTGGGGGAAAAAGCGCAGTCTAAGCATCAATCTGGATGACACAGAGGCAGTGCAGAATAGTGTCCTAGCAGGGCATGTAGCCTGGATTGGGGTGTTGGCAGAGCGTGATGTTCCCCTTGCTTTGAAGCCAAACATGATGAACCTCCATTCAAAATGTGTAGCTGAATTCTGGCTAATTGTAACACTCTGCCCAGATCTGGACATAGACTGAATCACATGCACATGTGTGAAGCAGCTGTTCCTTAGCGTGGATGATCTGTCAAGCAAGGACATATCATTCATCTCTTACTAGGGATTGTGCAGTTTCAGGACTGACCACCTCAAGTCTAGCGTGAGCTCGGTAGCACAGGGACCACAAGGTTGCAAGATCTCACTTTTTTCCACCTTGCTTCTTGGCAGAGTCTGTTGTCTGAACAAGGTGCTCAGGCATCCTGCAGCGCAGAAGAGACACCGAGAGCCCATGAATGGGCTCGTCAAAGCCGCGTTGGGGAATCTGCCTGAGCCAAGAAATAGGGAACTCAGAGAAAGAGGGGTTCCTTAGGACTTATCCCTCCTGGGAGCTGGTCTCATTTAAGGGGTGCAGAGAAGACTATGTAGGGCAGCTCTGTTCTGCTTTGATGCCACATTGCTTTGCCTTCCTTTGGCAATAGGCACTGCAACATCCTTCTCTTAGGAAACATTTATGCCCCAGTCCAATAGTTTTGTAATAATCTTACATTACCTCTCAGTTTATGGGCCAGCCTGAACTATCTCTGGTGGTCTCTCCTCTAGAAACTGCAGGTTCTGTATGGAAGGATTAAGTATTTGGGGGTTGCAGAAGGAGTGGGCATAATTTCTGGCTATATACATTTTTCTGAGAGGAGAAAGGTGTGGGGTTTGTGTTCCTGTGAGAGCTGATGTACTTCACATGGCACATTCAGGAAGCCTCAGTGGCACAGACATAGGTCCCTGCAGACCTCAGGCACATCCAGCTCCGGCACAGCTTCAGGAGAGTCCTGAGGACTGCATTTTGGACTTGATTCTCTTGCATGGATGGTCATTTGACACAGTCTCCTGTAGGCCAGGTCAGGTGTGGGTTCATAGCCAGGACCTGGAGCCACAGCCCCCTCTGCTATATCTGATACTGTCATACTTTGTCCCTTCCTCTGTCCCACCACCCTGATGGCCACCAGCAGTTGTACCCATACCCAGTTTGCTCCCCCGTGTCTTCCTCCCAGAGCAGTGATGGGTTTTGCTGTGGGGTTTCCGTCTCAGAGTACTAGTTAGAGGGACCAAATTTCAGGTCTTCAAGCAGTGCTACCACAGGGGTAGGCATGCTCAGGAATTGCTTTCTAAGACTAAATGCCACATCCCTAGGAAGTGCCATCCCTGCTGGTCACACTGCTGCTCCAGCAGGTCAAAACCAAGACCCTCTCAGGTCCAAGGTTTAAGGATGAGCTGGGGCTTAGCATGAGGCTCACCCAGCTCAAGCCAGCCCTTGGTCAAGATAGGTCACCCTGCAGGGGATGTAACTTGAAGTGGACTTTTGTTTTGTTTTACTTTTCAAATCCTGTTTATTTTGTAGTAACGTTATTCTACTCCTGTTATATCCTGGTTTGTTATCATTTGCAGTTAAGCCTGAAGTACCTTTTGATATAAACATCACATACCAAAAGGAGGCAAATGAGTATCTTATTCATTATAGTACACCACACTCATGGAAGAAATACTTAAAGGACAAATTAATACACCAAATAGCCTATCGGCAGGAAGAAGGTATTTGGAAGGTAAGTGATGATGTATTGGTCAGTTTACAGTAATTTCTGAAATTAATCACTATCAGAAATACCAGTATCATGTAAACGCCCTCAAATCTGCATTTCTACATTTCTTGAGCTGAAAACTTGGAAAGGTGCAATATTTGGCATTTGGAGATTTCATCAGTCGAAACAATTCCAGACCAATAGCACCAGTATCTTTTACACACTTGTCTGGGCTAACAAGGTTTCATTCATTTGTGCTTCTCTTTGGGAAGAGAAGACATAACAAACCAGCCTAACTGTTTGGATGGTTTGCTCTTTGCTATGTTGGTTTTGCTCTTATTTTCTGTGCTCATCAGTCAGTAAATTATGTGCCCTCTTTTCTTACTTAGCAACAGCTTCTTTGTGTCTTTCATTGAGCCTCTCCAGGCGCCGGGTGCAGCCCTGCAGCTCTCCCACCCCCAGACCACATTTCGGGCTACAGCCGTCTGTGAACTAGATCTGCCTTGGGCTGCCCAGCTGCTGGGATCTCTGTGTCCCCTGTCACAAAAGCAGCCGTGCAAACACGAGTCCAGATAGGGGGTCTTTGGAAACGTGGACTATAGCTGTTTTTTACATAGGGATCACAGGAGAACGCTAACTTGAAAATGAAAAGGATTCAGGCAACCAAATACAGTAAAATAAAGAGCACCAGAGCTGCACTGTGGGATTTCAGCTTCTTTCCTGTAGCTGCTCTTTCCGAAGTTGTCTTTTTATGCTGCATAAAAGTACTTTTCCCCTCTCTTTTCTGAGCCTTCCCATGGAAGTATGTATTTGCCACTGCAGTGTCACCAGTAACAAAGTACAGTTTATACATCCAGCTGTTTTCTAAGGCTTTTACTCAGCCTTAGACTCTCTTCTCAATACTGTCTGAACTACCTTGCTGTTAAACTAGACTGACGTCATGATGACCACCTACCTGTACATTAACCAAAGACACAGAGCAAAGAGTGCAGTACTGCAGGGATGCACCTGATCTTACACACTTTGCTGAAACTCAAAGATATTTTTCCTGTGTCTTCTAGAAAAATAATTGGATTTTTTTAATGTGTTTAGACAATAGAGTCACCATACCTTCTTATAAAATTACTGGGGAAAAACCTCGAAAATGATGCATCGTATGAGGTGAAAGTACGTTCGCAGCCCAACGGAGATTATTTTAAGGGCACGTGGAGTGAATGGAGCACTTCCAAGAGCTTCAGGACCGCAAGGGAGCAGCAGTCCACGGAGACCTGTAAGGGCAGAAACCACTTTGGTCCACCTGGAAGAAAGCGGAGCTAGGGGTCCTTGACTCCTTGGCCAGCCTTGGTGGCAGCAGTGATGAGAGCATGGGGAGGGAAGAGCCCGTGGCCACAGCAGGGTCAGCCCTCACAGGCACTGGGCACCCCAGAGGAGATGACCCAGAAAGTGGCTGTATCACTCTGGTCTGGGGCTGACTCTATGTGTGGAGTTAAATCTCACTCAAGGGCGATAAGATCAGACGAAGTGCTGCTGTAAGGGCATGAGGGGGTTGCAAAGGGAGGTGAAGGTTGACTCACTCCTGCTTGCTGCCTGCTGGTGTGCAGGGAGAAGAACCAGCTTGCACTAAGCATTTTAGGTAAGGCACAAAGAGCAGTGAAACATGACCCATTTCAGGGCCCCGTATTTGTGTGTGAATATGGCACTTTAATCACAAATACAATATGGTATAAAATCTCATAATTGCACTTGTAAACATGAATAATCCTTCTGGTCCTTGGGGTCCCTTCAGTCCCCAGGGGCACCTCGACATTGCATGTATTTAAAGTCACTTCATTGCTGATGCAAGGATGCAGTGAGTGGTGGCTGAAATGTGCTGGAGGTCATAGCAGACTTTGAGCTGCTTTAATCTGACCTGGGAACCCAGCTTGGAGCTCAGCCAAGTGCTGATGCTCTGGCAGCCTCCTGCTTTCCTCCTTCAGTGAGGCGGGATAAATGTACCACTGCACCAGTCCAATGATGAGCAAGCGCAACGCTTGGCATTAATTCCTAATTTATTGTCTGAAGAGCCATTATCGTTACGGTGGCTTAACAGTGAGACATTTACATGCATTGGCTGATGTTCTTTGTTTTTCTTTAGTTAGCAGCGTGGTTGTGATTATACCCTCCATCCTGGGATTCATGCTGTCCATTGTCATGATTGTCCTGATTGTAACTTTTTGGGAAAACAGGTAATCTAAGTCTCTTTGTACCAGAAAAAGTGGTGGAAGCCAATCCTGTTCTGACAGTGTTTGTTTTTTCCCTGTTATACTTGGGAACTATTCTCTTTCCATCTCTGGACCTCTATATCAAGCAGAAGGCAAGCAAAGAGTAGAAGCAGAAAATACAAGAGAGGCTGTTGGCAGGCAGAAGATGACCTGCCACTTTGAGCAGACTTTAGTCTTGGGCTTAAAACACTGGGACCTTTGGGGAGCTGAAGTCACCATGAAACACAGAGTCGCTCACTGGAGGCAAATTTGACTCAAAAGCTTCAAGCAAGATCCAGAAAAGAAAGCAACCTGCGGGTTTTAGCAAAGCCCCAAGAGGTGTGGAAATGGTATACTGGGGAGATTGCTTCTTTCCCTTTCATAGGCTGAGTCAGCAAGGTGTTTGCTCTGCAGTATTTTCAGAAGCAGCAGGGCAGAGGTCTCTGCAACACAGATGTGATGGCATCAGCCGCCAGCCCAGCCGGGTCCACATCCAGACACCCACGTGGCGAAACTAGGCTCTACATCCCCCACCAAAACAGTCATGGCAGAAGTGAGACTGGAAATACATTCATTACACAGGCAGTCCTTTGTCTGCCTTGCTTTATTTTCATATATTGGCTACAGAGCAGTAGATAGGTAGCTGTAAATGTATTTTTAAATATGTGGCTATATATGCTTATATAGAATAGATAGTTAACAAATTTAAGCAAATGAACAGATATGTAGACGATCTGGTGAAACCAGAATATGAAGTGAAAAAGTCCCAAGTTTAACCATAGGAGCTGATCCGCTCGCAAAGCAGAAAGCCCAGGTCTGGTCAGTGGCATTGAAAGCAGCCTGTCCATGACACCCAGAGAGATGGCTGCATGAGAGCTGCTTCTTCGGGACAACACTCGGGCTGTGCTAACCCCTGAATTACACACAGGGATTGCCTGGGAATGTGCTAGTTAGCCCCGGTCAAACCATGCGAAGAACAATTTTAATAATTAAACATTTTAGACATTGGAGTTATCTGTCAGGGAATGCTCCCTGGTGCTGTTTTATTTGCAAGTGTAGAGGTGGCTTGAGACTCCTAGCTCTTGCTTTTTGCTATTGCTGAGCACTCGCAGTGCTCTTACTTTGCTAGAAGTTCTGCTTATGTGAAACTGCTGAAGAAACAGGTTTTTAGATGGTGAGACTTTTTGAACCCAGAGATTTCCCTTTTAAAAAGAAGAGGGTTTTATACATGTGTGTATATATACCCACATATACAGACACATATATAAAGCTAAATATATATTCATATACATCTATAGCTATATTTATATCACTGCAACATTGAATGTGAGTTGGGCAACATTCTCTAGATGCATCATAGCTAAGAGTTACCAGCAGCACAACATGAGAAGTTTGCTAATCAAGGCAGTAAAAATGAGAGGTGTGGGACAAGGCTACAATAACAGATGTCTGAAGCACAGATAGTTGGCTGAGGGGGGGACAACATGCAGTACTTTGACTTATGTAAACATGCAGAGGCAAATATCAGCAAATTTGCACTTTAACCACAGCATCTTTTTTCACTTGCAGAAATTGGTTTCACCATGCAAAATCTTGTTAACACAGCTAGATGCAAATGAGCTCTTCACCAGCATGATGTGCTGCTTTTCCAGTACTCGGTCTTCCTTTAACTGTGACAATTTGTGCACTCAGAAGAACAATGACTATTCAGTGACCTTTATAACTCCTCTTCTCCTGTCTTTGTTTTATTCTGAGACTTCTCTGTCATAATTCTGAGTAATGCAAGCCAGCCCTAAGGCTTTGTGAGAATTAGCAGAAATGATGCAATATGAACCTCTAATATCTCAGATGTGCCTCTTCTGCTGCTGTTCAACCCCTTTTTGTCTACTGTTGCTGTTTCAGAATCAAGCCTGCTGTGTGGCCAAGCCTTCCTGATCATAAAAAAACACTGGAGCAACTATGCAAGAAGCCAAAAAATGTATGTACTTCCACTGTTGTGTTCACCTGAGTATAGACTGTTAGGAACAAAACTAACACTCATGAGAGACAGTACTTGCATTTGCTGCATGAACTGGGATATCTTTCAGAAATGACTTCTATGTTTCACTGAAGAGATGCTAGTCAAGGTATGGAAATAACAGGCAATTCAACTAGTGCCTGAGCTTTGACTTGTGCAAAGTAACTACAGAAGGCTGGAGAACTTGACATATGAAGAAAGGTTGAAGGAATTGAGTTTGTTTTCTAGGAAAGAGGAAGCTTGGGGTAGGAACTACTAATCACAACCTTCTAGTACCTAGGAGTGTAGGTAGAGAGATGGTGGAGGTGCTCTCACCACAAGGCTGCATGGTGACAGGACCACAGGCAACAGGCACATGTTAGCTCAGGGGAAACTTCACCTTGATATAAGAAAAAAATCTTTCTCTGTGAGAACAATTAAACATTGTGTAGGTTGCCTGAAGAAGAGATAGGTTCTCCTTTGCTATAAATGTTCAAGGCTTGGCTTGACAGGGCTCTAGATAACCCAGTCCGGGTCGTTCCCCTGGTAGAAGGTTGGACCAGTTGGACTCCAGAGGTCCTTTCCAACAGAGACCTTTCAGTGATCCTATGAAACTGTGACCATGGAGCTGGATTGGACACCCTTTGCAAACATCCTAATAATGCTTGTGTACCCTCACATGGCCAGCAGAATTGCTCATACAGCATGCAGTACATGAAACTGCTCTGCCAGATAAAAGCCAGATGGACAAATGTTACAAACCATAAGGTGTAGGATTAACTCGCTGCCTTAAAGCTATGTGTCTAGTGTATTTTTTTCACTAAGCAGATCATCAGCCCTGTTCTCTCCAGTTGGTACATTATTAGCATGTTCTTAATTTAATAAGAGGTCTAAGACGACTCTTCCACCCCTTGTACTCCCCAGTGCATGTCCTGATGTGTTTCAGGAAGCTGTGGCAAAATTTTACTTCCCTCACTGCTAAATTAGGAAGGTAAAACTGAAGGGAGCCATCTGGGTTGGCACACTCACTCCCATGAAATGGCAGGCATGCAATAGATGCGTGGCTCAGAAAAGTCTCTGAAACACTAGTTCCTGCCACATTGCATAGAGCGTAAAATGCTCTCCAGTGACACTGCCTGCAGGAGGCCTCTGGATAGATTCAGATTAGTATGGAAAAGGATTTTAAGCCACATGAGAGTTTATTCTCTGCTAACCTGTAATTCAGCTTGCTCAGGGTTACTTTCAGAGTTAAAGAAATAAAAAATACCCCTCTCAAATGAATTATCAAAGTACCTTTTCTCTTAAGCTAATACCCACTGTTAACTGACTGTGCTGTTCCCTTTGCCATGCAGAATTTTGATATAAGCTTTAACCCGGAGAGTTTTGGTTATGTTCATATCCATAAAGTGGATGGCATTCGAGCAAAAGCTGAACTGGAAAATTTTCTGCAACCATCGACTGCTCCAGATCCAAACATTCCAGAAAAATTTTGGGGTGGATCAGACCTGACGATGATCCCTGAGATGACAGAAAGAAGCAACCTAAGCCTGTCTGTGACTTACGAAGGAATCTGGCCAGCTGAAACCCTGCACAGACTCCTGACCACCAGCCAGTTTGCAGTCACCGAAGGAACCTGCTGCTGCAGCACATACGAGGTGTGCCACGGCAACGGGGTGCCCCTGTGCGATGATGGTTTCAACCTTTCCTCCGCTCCTCCCCCAGATGCCTCTGGCCAGCTTGGACCTGAGCCCCTAAACAGTGATACTGCATCCCAGATGCTGCCAACCAATGAAATGAGGTCACCAAACAATGAGGAAGCCTATGTCACGATGTCTAGCTTCTACAAAATTCAGTAAACCTTACAGGAATGACAGCGTACTGGTTTTTCTCTAGCACAAGCGGGACATTTTAGCTTTCTGTTTTGTTTTCCTGCGTCCTGTGAGTTCCCACCTCTGTAACACACCCTGCTCACAGTGCAACACTCTACCTGCAAGGAAGCAGGTTCTCCCATGTTTCAGTGATAAGTGGCCTAACTTCAGCTCTCAGTATGCTGGTAGCAATCTCCACTGCAGCAGAAATGAAATTTAATTCAACCTGACTTTAATCTTCAGATCTGACTAGTCCAGAGCAATGACACTGCAGTCCTAGCTGAGGATAACAGCATGTCTTGTAAAAGTTAATGGACTCTTTAGTTAACCTCTCGGTTGCAGAATTAAGCTCTTATTAATGCTTAAGCAAGAAATACGGCAACAAAGTCAAGTTAAATAGAATCCAATCTTTTAAACAGTGGTAGTTCAAGAGTAAGTCCTGCGGTCAGTGGAAGTCCACAAGTCTGCAAAACGTCAGTAAATAAGAGCTGCTATCAAGCATTAGTTGCCTGGGGATTCAGTAGCTTGGTTACCACAAAAGGAGTTTGCTGAGCCCCCAGGCAAAAGGGGACAGGGACTCACTTTAGGAAGATGTTTTCTCAGACTGATTTTTTTATTATTATTTTGATTTTTTTTGACAGATGAATTAAAACAAAGCAATACCCTACATGCCACTACTTTTTGCTGTTTGTAAAGATCTGCTCTGGAGCCAATTTGGGGATTCACAGATACTTCTGCTAGTGCTCTATATTAAAGATCTTCAGTACTGCATATACTAGCAATGTTTAGCTAAGGAAAAAACCAAAATCACTAAAAAGCAAAGTCTCATCTCTTCCTATAAACTGAATTGGGGATGCAAAATGCACGATACTGTCTTTCTCTGCAGCTCTTGTGCAAGCATTAGTGCAGCATGTAAGTACTTTCCAGGACAGAAGGGCTGAGCAGACCATGTTTGTTTACTAACATTATTCCCAATGGATGTGGCTGCATGATAATACTTTGAATTTGGCCAGGCAATGCTCTCGTGAAACATCTGACCTAGGAAGATGGAGTGTCATGCATCCTGCCAGTGATCAGATGACCTATATTTTTTAAAAGTACCTTGTAAATTGCCTACAGTTTTGTGGTTTGGTTTTTTTTCTTTTTTTCACATTATTATGGAGGAAGGTACTTTGTCCCTTCCCATTCACCTTACTCTGGACTCTGTGCCCAGCTCTAAAGGGTTCCCCATGTACTGCCATGCAGAGATGGCTGAGCACTTCACAGTCCCTCTGGGATGCTGCTCATTGCAGAGTACACGCTTGGAGATAAAGCTGCTACAGCCACATGGTTGCATGACAGCCAAGCAGTGTGGCCATGGGAAATCCAAGCCACTTTGCTGTGCTCTGTGATTGAGGTTCACCTCACTGTGCAGTCTCAGTTCCTCTAGCTGTTTGAAATTCTCCTTTACTGAAGCATATTCACATTCCCAGAGTCTAAGGGTAAAAAGAGTCCTCTCTAATGCTCAGAGCTGCTCAAATTTGCTCTGACTGGTAATAATCACTGAGATGTCGCTATATTTGATGTGGCCTGCTGGCAGAAAAGAGCATTCTCAAGACAGCACTCCACCTTCTCCACCTCCACCCGACGTCAGGGAAACCTTCAAACGGGGACAGCCTTACGATCCCTGTGTGCAAAGGGGCTGAGGATTTGGCTCAAGGCATTCCAGTGACATTTTACAGAATGGTTTTTATTGCTGTTTCTCACCAAATGGAACATTGATTAACACAGTAGAAAAGGATGAAAGCCCTGGACATTCCTTTGCTTTATAATGCTTGTATTTCTTTTTAAAAAGAGCTGCTGGTAATGTTCATACCATGCTGACTTGCACAGCGCAATTGTAGATGCAGACAGACTGTGCTGGAAAGATATCCTCTTCTAGTAACACAGAGACAAACAAAGAGGGAATGGAGGAAGAAGCAAAAGCGCGTCAGAAAAAATCCTGTACAGTATGTGCTATGCTTGTTTTCAACTCATACACATATTTTTCAGGATTAAAGGGTTCATCACAAATGTCTATTTGCACTATTTAAGCAGGAAGGTACCCATATATAGTAGTCTTTCTGTTTGTCCGGAAATGGATATGGCTCTTTAATACAGGAGAAGTGGTAGAAACCTGGTGTTTGCTCTTTAGTATGGGAAAAGTAGTAGAAATCTGATGTTTCTTTACTTTAATCACTCTGAAATAGTTATATTTTTCCTATGTAGTATTGATTTTTTTGCATAGCTGCTAATGTTTAAACATTCATTCGATTTTCTATGTCTTATTTAATTAGACAACATGTAACCTTGATTTTATGTTTTTAGTGTATTAAAAGGACATGAGTATTTGCATCATCTATTTATGCTGCTCTAATTTAGTCTTTTAATATACATCTATGAGGTTAGGACTTACTCTGCCCTCACTGAAATTAGGATAAATCCATGGGCTCTACCTAGCTTCAGACAGGATAAATCCCAAATAAATCCAGTCAGCTCAGAGGCCTGAACGCACTGCAGGATAACAGCAAGCATCACTCTCCCTTCATCACCATCACCCCGCGAGTCCCTATGATTTGGACTGGGCATGCCGTTGTTCATCCTGACTCCGACTGCCACCCAGCCCTTGTTACCCAGAAAACATAGGGGTACCAGCTCTGGGAATCAGGCGGGGGAAGCCGTTCCCCTGTCAATGGCTCATACTTACTCAGGCGAGCCAGAAGCTTTGCCCACGGCCCTGTGTGCAGCCATGAGTCCACACCACAAGCACCAGAAAAGAAAAAAAACCCCTCAGGCTTGCAATAGTGTACATTAAGGCAAAGTCCCATATAGGCTGTGACCTCAGAGATGATACTTCATTAATATACTGCTGAATGCTGACAAATATGCAACTGAAAGAAAACAAAGCAGCCTTTTGTTAATTATGTTCATCCCAATGTGGCTTTTCTTAGTGGAGGATGCCCACCTAACTCATGCCCACCACAGGGGTTACTTTGTTCCAGGCATGCACCTGCATGTATGATGAAGCCTATCTAGAAGAGTATCTTTCCAGGAGAGCAACAGCGAGCACAGACAAGTCAAGGGGGCTTAAAGGTTAGCATTAAGGTTCTAAAGGACCCTGGCTCCCAGAAATGCCATGAAACCTGTTCATTGAACCACAACCAACTGCTACCAAGCCAGTGCCAACAGCTGGGTCATTACAGAGATGTTCAGTCAAGTCCTGTCAGGCTGAACTTTTACAAGCACTAAGCTCCTCCAGGATAACTCTGTTTGGGGATTAGGCTGCTCTAAAGTGTGCAGAAGCTAGAAGTCTCCTTCAGCTTTGACAATCTGGCCTCAATCGTGGGAGCTAAATCTTTTGGAGAAAATGGTCCCTGACTATTTTGCAGGTGCTGAGTACCAATCTTTGAGAAGTCTTAGTATCAGCATCTCTGAACATCACATGTGATTTTATAGCCACCAACATAAATTTGATGGGTGTATACAAATATAAAAACTTCCAGCTTCCTTTTGGAAAAAAAGAAATCCAAATATGCAGCAAAGCAAGAAGCACCAGAAACACTTCTGGTCCATGCCCAGCTTTCAGATGCGTAGTACATATATGAAGACACAGCCACGGCTGTCTCAACAACACTTCACCGGGTCAGGACTCAGTAGTTTTCGTATTTTACAAGACAGAGTTTCCCCGTAGTTGTTCATGAATTCCCATCTGACTCAACATCCATGCACCTTCTTTACTTCAGCATAACCTTCCTCTGCCACACTTTCTGTCTCCTGTGCTCATACTCAGCTACACACAAAAAGAGCTTGGCGACCCTGGTTTCTATGTAGCTGCTTTATGACTCTGTGCCTAGAGCTGGCTGCTCCTCTCTCCGCACGTAACTGTCAGGCTCTGCCGCCTCTTCTGGCGTACAACACAGTCACTCTCCCATCTCTGTTGCGCAGCTCATTTGCACTATGCAAACATCTCCTAGCAGCACACAAACGCTAATCTATGAAATAAAACAAGTCTTTTGTCAGTTATAACACTGAGTCACAGTCTAATTTTAATGATACTGAAAAATGTTAATTACCTCCCAAGGCAATTCTTGTCCCCTGCTGAATATATTAGTTTGTTTACCAGATCTCCTCCTCTTGTGCATGTTCATTAGACAGGCTGATAAAACACACAAAAATGCTCTCTGTGGGGTGGTAGACCAGCTGAGCATGGGGATGTGTTTCTGCCAGGGCAAAGGGATGGTTAAATGCATGTGATATGCATGGAAGTCTGGGCCATAAAATAAATGGTGAAGGGGTGGCCCAGCCACCGCTGCCACAGGGACACAGGCTGAATTCGTGGCAGTTTTAGGGAGGCACGAGCTGACCATGAAGCCATCCTTTCTGGCAGCATGGGACCTCATGACGCTGGCAGGGTATTTCTGCAGGGCAGGAGTTCAGCCCCTTCTAGGCTTCTTAGCAAAAGTGCTTATTGACTTGGAGGCTTGTATTCATATATCAATACTGCAGTGCTGCAGCCCTGGGGGGAAGAGCAGCAGGTTTTTTAGTCAATATTTTTTTGGCTCAAGCTAGTTATCTTTTTGGTGGTGTGTTTCTGAAGCTGTCCTTTAAAACCAGTTAAAATGTAACATAAAGGAGACTTACCAACTCTGTGAAGAATTATTTTAGGGTCCAACAGTTCCTTATTACTGTGATCATGAAGCCCGTCATTAGCACTCCTGTGCATAACAAGACATTGGCAAAACAAATCTAATGTACAGACACACAAGAAAACAACTGGTGATGCCAGGAAAGGCAATTGCTAATTTCTACCGACCATCGCATCCCTTTGCTCACTCGGCATCTCTAGATTTCAGTCAGGCTGGCTGTTCCTTGGCTTTTAAGCGCCACCTGTTGAAACGTGAAGCCACATGTCAGAGTCCAGCACTACGACGCTTGCTGCTGTCATCAAATCACGCAGCCCTGAAAACGTT